TGATCCCTAAGACACTGGGCCTTTGTAAGGATTTGCAGTTGCTAGATATAAGTAATAATAGGATCACTGGTTCTATTCCTGATGACATTGGTTATTTGCAAGGGTTAGATATCCTCTTGAACTTGAGTTGGAATTTTCTTACTGGCCCCATTCCCGAGACCTTCTCAAATCTCTCAAAACTATCCATCTTGGATCTTTCTCACAACAAGCTCACAGGTACCCTCGGAGTTCTGGGTAGTCTTGACAATCTTGTGTCTCTGAATGTCTCTTACAATAGCTTTTCTGGTTCTCTTCCTGACACAAAGTTCTTCCAGGATCTACCTGCTGTTGCATTTGCAGGTAACCCTGACCTTTGCATTAGCAAGTGTCATGCAAGTGGAAATGGCCAAGGCATCAAGTCAATTAGAAATGTTATTATCTACACTTTCCTTGGGATTATTTTAATTTCTATTTTTGTCACTTGTGGAGTAATTTTAACTCTCAGAATTCAAGGGGCCAAGTTTGGGAGGAATTGTGATGAAGGTGGTGAAATGGAATGGGCTTTTACTCCATTCCAAAAGCTCAACTTCTCCATTAATGACATAGTCACAAAGCTGTCAGATTCAAACATTGTGGGAAAGGGTTGTTCAGGGATTGTTTATCGTGTAGAGACGCCAATGAAACAGGTTATTGCAGTGAAGAAGCTATGGCCAATAAAGAAAGAAGAGCCACCAGAGAGAGATCTGTTCACTGCAGAGGTTCAGACCCTGGGATCAATAAGGCATAAAAATATAGTGAGACTTTTAGGATGCTGCGACAATGGAAGAACTAGATTGCTTTTGTTTGATTATATATGTAATGGTAGTTTATTTGGATTACTCCATGAAAAGAGATTATTCTTGGATTGGGATGCAAGGTATAAGATCATACTGGGAGCAGCTCATGGTTTAGAATATCTTCATCATGATTGTATCCCTCCAATAGTCCACCGAGACATTAAGGCTAACAACATCTTGGTAGGTACACAGTTTGAAGCTTATCTTGCAGATTTTGGCCTTGCAAAACTTGTGAGTTCCTCGGAGTGTTCAGGAGCCTCTCATATAGTTGCAGGTTCTTATGGATACATAGCTCCTGGTGAGTATAAATGCTTTTGACATTCTAAAACTTTTGAGTCTTACATCATTATTTTTGTCAATAAAATAAATAAAATAAAATATTCAGTGTTTTTATACTTTTAAGACATTCTCTCTCTTTTTTGGTTATATAAAAAATTAGTGTTGGACTTTAAGACATTCTTTTTATATTTCTCAATCAGGTTGTTCTTTCTATAACAGTTTCCTGAAACCATATTTGAAATTAATATATGCCACTTTGCCTTTTCTTCTTTCTTGCTTGTATTTCATTTCGATTTTGGGACATTTTCATTTACCTCATTGTAACTGCTGACTAATCAGAACAGCATTATATTTCAAACTGCAGAATACGGATACAGTTTAAGGATCACAGAAAAGAGTGACGTGTACAGTTATGGTGTTGTGCTCCTTGAGATCTTAACAGGGATGGAACCAACTGATCACAGTATTCCAGAGGGTGCCCACATTGTCAGCTGGGTTAGCAATGAAATTCGAGAGAAGAAAAGAGAATTTACATCTATCCTTGACCAGCAACTAGTTTTGCAGTGTGGAACAAGAACCTCTGAGATGCTTCAAGTGCTAGGGGTGGCTCTCCTTTGTGTGAATTCATCCCCAGAAGAAAGACCTACTATGAAAGATGTAACAGCAATGCTCAAGGAGATCCGGCATGAAAATGAAGATTTTGAGAAACCAAATTTTCTCCATAAAGGCATGGTTACCAATCCAAAAGCAGCAGTTCACTGTTCAAGTTTCTCTAGATCATGTGAACATTTAATAGAATCACCATCTTCTTCTTCTTCATAGCCACCAAACTGATTGCTAGATTTTTTAATTTCTTTTTTTTTTTTTGTCAAGTCACAATTTATTTGTATAGATTAGTATTATATGGATTTGGATCTTCTTCTGTATAAGATATGGTCTTGTTGGAAAGAGAAAGACATAAATATAATTATTGAATCCTAACTAATCGTGGTGGATCATTGTTTAATAAAAATGATATCTTTCTCTCTTTATCAAGACCATATCATGTTACTATATCTTATGGCAATCCCATAATGCAATTGTGTTCTTTTTGTAGATAAGCTATTTGATTCAAAATAAGCCAGATAATACCAGAAACTTGAGTCTTTATTATCTTAAGTTGATCATGTCCTTGAATTGCTATCAATAAAAACCGCCACTCAGTGTTGTCCAAATTCAAGTAAAATATAAAAACTTGAAAATCTCAAAGCTTAGCACTGAATAATCTCTATATTCTATTTCTCTCTCTTTTTCTTTTCTTAAATAGGCATAGAATAACGTTCTTGCAATATGGTATCAAAGTGTTACTTTGAGTGCACTAAAAGCCATGAAGAAGATGTTATAGGACGTAGTCCCACTCACACAATCTATGAACCTGCTTTTGCCGACAACAGTGGCACAAGTGAACAAATTAATAGTGGTACCGTGCCTTAGACCTTAGGTTCAGTTAACCTTGGCAATGAGGACTTCCAAAAGAAGGGACCTTAGTACACAAACATAGCTTTCAAGGGACTGTGAGAGATGGGCCATCGAAAAGCAAGAGTGGACAGTGTCTTATTTCTGGCATAAACCTCTAAAGCGCAAAATTATAGAGAGAAGAGAAGCACCTGGACCACAATCCTTCATAAATGTTCCCAACAATTATTTATGTAAAGATAGAGATAGCTCGTGCCTCATGTTATTCAAAAGAAGTCTTTCTTTTATTCATGTGATAGGAGACCATCCTAGGCCCACACATAGTTTGATAATCTTATCTCCCTTGTTAGGACAGTAAGCAATCATCAATATTAAGTAATCACTGTTTTCCCATACAACAAACATTAACCTCCACAATTATAAAGGTAATATTGCTCAATTTAAATAAACTTTTACAAAAATGCTTATTAAAAAATTAATATAAAAATAATAAAATTCTTTTTATAAGTTAAAAATAACTTATATTTATTTATATTTTGAGAAGTTCTGAAAACTATCTTATTTACCTTCTCTAAAATTTGAAAAAAAATTATTTTTAACTTAAAAAAAAGTGTTATTTATTTGTTATACCAATTTTTTTCTTTTTATAAAAAGTTATCTAAGAATTTACTCAAATTGAGTCTACGTGTAGTTCTTTAGTCATGTAAGTTAACAATAGAAATAATAAGATATTATTTAATAATTTTTAAAAAAGTATAACTTATGTCATAAATTTAATTATAAATTTTATAAAAATAAGTTAAAAACAATTTATTTTGATAAGATATATTAAAAAGTTTATTAAAATAAAGAGTTTCTGACAGTTGTAAGCTATCTACATAAGTTGTCTATAACTTCTTTCAAACAGGCTACAGTAGAACAACATTTTGTATACTCCATAATATGTTATATTTTGAAAGCTTCATTCCGTATATATAATTCATATAACACAAACTTACCATCCACCATCAATTAAACAAATGAAATACTCCTATAGCAGCATACAAAAATATAGCATCCAAGAAATTTACACTCAATACTAAATCGACGGATATTGATGGCAGTGAGATGATAATAAAAATGAAAAATAAGGAAAATAGAACTGTGTAGATAAGCAACAATAGAACAAAGGGAGCACAAAGGATCCTTGCTTGGAGGAAACAATAACGACGGAGTGGGAAACACTGATGAAAATCTACGCAGGATTTTTGGACAGAAGCAAGTAACTAGTGTGTTTTCAAGAAACAAAAACACGCTACGTACATTAAATTTAAGGGGAAAAACTGTAGAACTAAGAAACGGCCAAATGAAGAAACGATAATGACTAAGATTTGAAGATAGGAGACTTTGATAAGTCAAGGTGTGAACGCTTCAAAACAAACTTTCTCAATATATTTAAGTGCCTTAATTAAGCATTGGAAACAGACAATAATGTCCCTCTCACGTTTACATTTCCCTGCTGCATGTTCTACTTTTGATTACGCAAAAATGCGTTACTTGGATACTTTTACATCTCATTTCTTTATTTTCCTATCTTTGCACGTTGTCACTTATAGCCATACAAAAGGAGTATAAGGACAGGGTTAAAAATATGAGTAATTTTGAATGCGTTATTAAATTAGCATAGGCTTATGCTCTTTCTAAAATCCGGGTCCACCGAAATCCCGATCAAAGTTAAGCAGAACATGTAGAAGACGAGACTTCATGAAAAAAAAAGTATCCTTTATTTACTATAAAGACTATTCCATCACAATTGAAAAAGACCAAACTTTTCGGTATAAAATTATTTGGAATAAGTATTAAGTATACAAATTTAAATAATGGTAAGGAAACTTTTCCGGTAAAATTGGGAAATTAATATCTCTTGATAAGCTAAAAAGTGTAACCAGGATTTGCCGACGATCGTGATAATACAACTATACAAGTAAAATTGTTCAAGAAACAACAGTTACAGCAAATTAGCTTCGTACTTTTCTGGGGTCCATAGTCTCGTACTACCTTTTTTGGGTCAACAAATAGCTTCGTACTTGTAAGTTACTTTTTCTCCCTTCGGTCAATATAAATACCCGTAAGGTTTTTTTTTTTTTTTTTTTTTTTTTTTTTCTGTCAACTTACTTGTAAGTTACTCTTTTTGGTCGCGACCTGTAATTGTTTATTTTTGGTCCTCAACCTGTAAGCTACTTCATTATCTTGTTTCGCAACATTGAAATGATTAGGCCATTTACGTTGAAAGAACTGGACCTTGTTGTGATGGCCTTTCTCAAGCCCGTCCAAAGTATTTGTCTTTTTTAAAAATACACTATATTTATGACACAAATTACTTTTTATTGGTATGAATAATTATTCGTTTCTTATAAAAAAAAACACAGAAAGTATATATTAAAATAGAGGATATAGGGGGAGAGGCGTCATAAACATGAGAGCATTTCAATGTAATTTAGTCTTCTGTATTGTATGTTTTAAAGGATATGTCAATAAACAACATCGCATTGCAAACGTTACAAAATATCATAAATAAGATTGTATTTTCAGGAAAATTGCACATAAATTTCCTTACTGTCACAATATTAGAAACAAAGAACAGGGAGACATCGTATACTCAGTAACGTAGTATACAACTTAAGTGACATACCCAGTAACTAAAAGAATCACTATTGACATCATTTCCTTCCAAGTCACACGCTTTGGTGAATTCTATGTCAACAGGAACAGTGAACGAAAAGAAAATAACAAGCAGTTGTAAGATTCCAATATGGTTCGTGAGATTACATAAAACAGAGAACATGAAAAAGAAACCTGAACTCACTGAATAATATCTTGAACAAGATAATTACACTGCACCGATCAAAACTTCTTCCCTGGATGCCACTTTATGCTGCATCCAACACTTCAAACAAGTACAAAAATAATGACTTTAACCTTAAGCATGAGAATGTGACAGAGACCTATAGTTTAAATGTTCAACGATTAAATGGAGAATATGTACAAAGTACCTTGGTTTTTGCTCTGATGGTACCGGTTGGCCACTTAGAACACGATCTATTGCCAAGCTCAAGTCTCTATATAGAAAATGAAATGGTTAGTACTGTCAAGAAACTATAATGTTCAAATAGTTGTTGACTGCTAATTCAATATAAGAAGCCAACCTTCCAGTGACTGGTACATTGTTACTTGGCCGTGAATCATCAAACTGACCATGATAAACCAGCTCAAACGGCCTTCGACCATCCTGTTATTGTAAAATTAATTGATAGAAATGTGATATATACTGACATTGGAGGGTTTAGTTAACCCCCAACAAATAACAGTGGTTGTAATTACCTTTTTGAAAAGCAAAAATTCTGGGGTACAAACTGCTCCAAAATCTCGTGCAACATCCTGTGACTGCAACCAAAGACATTCCATTAAATTTAATTGTTTTACCAAATTACAGACAAATAAAACATCAGATCTTCAACAAGTTGTTTCTTTCAATTAATCACAGCTAAAATGTCCTCCATGGCAAAGAATCAATTCCATTTGAGCTATAGCATTCGCCATCAGAAACGAGCTTTCAGCTTTAGGATACAAATTTTAAGAAAAATACTAAGAAGTACCTATAGGCTATAAGGATATTGGTTAAGGAATCAAAAGTGAAATGCTTTCATGGAAAAACGTTACCAACACACCCTGCCGTGGTTCCCAATACAATTCCACCATAGTTTTTAAAAATATTTATTTATTAATTACTTAATCAGTGCCTATAGAGCACTTGGTAGCAGGATCCAAATGTTAATGCAATTTGGAAAACATAAAACTTTCAAAACATATTCTGAAATGAAAATATGGATATTAATAAATTATCAACATTTAATACTTTTTTATGGTTCTAATATTCAAATCATAAGAAAAAAAAACTCATTTGTCCGTCAATTAAATACCTCAATAAAGAACAACATTTGATTACTACCTAAGGAGGAGTTAAAGTTTACAGCTATTTTTCCCCCTTTGTGTTTAAGATATAACACCTTCATGTGGACACGTTTTAACAAGGAGAAACAATTCAAATTGACCTCCTTTTTTCTGTGTGTCTTATGGATTTTGAGCTTTAATGGTAGAGTTTGGAAAAATCTGTTTAACCTGATTTTGAGTAGTGGTTTATAGTAGTCTCATGCCGATATCAACATGAAATTCATCCGTTAGGATATATGGAAATATCCAAAAACAATCTTATCATATAGATTATCCTTTACAATTTTTCATGAGCATAAATACAGTTTAGTACTTTTGGTCTTGTGAACATGTCAAAAACATCTATACATTGTAGTACATCTAAGTTAATATCACTTGTTTCATTCTCTTTAATCTCTCTTCCTTCCTCTATACCTAAAATCCCATAATTTCAACAACTATAAAGGGATGTGATTTTCATCATTGGTCATATAATAAATATACAATTAGATAGGCATGGCTGCATAGACATCTAAAGTCTAAACAATTAATAAAGCATGTGCATAAAAACAGGTTAAGAATTATCAAAGCGTACCTCATCATAAAGATATGGGAAAGGATAGTCAAACAGTTTAGCTTCTTCTGCCATGAATTCTGGACCATCCTGTGAGGCACAATTCCAAGTTGGACAAATCATTCAAAACGTAGCTTTTTTCGAGGATACAGAGTTATAACAACCTGGGGGTGTGTGGCTACAGAATTTGAAGATATGGCAACGACAGCAAGTCCTTTCTGTAGAAAAAAAAAGGAAAGAATATTCTTAAGAATGATTGTACTTATGCAAGTCCAACCAGCTACTCAAGAAAGAAATATATTTCTTCCAGGGTAATTGATTTGGCTACCTTCATATAGAACTTTGAAAGCTTTACAATGTCTTTTTTCAGGTGCTTAACAAATGGGCAGTGGTTGCATATAAACATAACCTGCATGGCCAAAAAAGCGAGAGGAAAAACAAGCATGGTCACAACTGAACTCAAACATATGACAATTTCATTAAACTAGAAACTAAAGAGAGGTCAGAATTAGACTTTCGAAAACACCCATGCTTCATTCATCATAATTCACAAGGAAGAACTAATAACAACCAGAACAGTTCAGTAAACTTAGCCAAAAAATGGTTTCTGTGGAATCTTTTGCACATATGCAGCTCATACGATTAAGCAGAAAGGAAGTTACTTCCTAGCTGGTATTCTACAGTATCTATTTTAATGATTTCTTGTATGAATATAAACCTTGTTTGGCAATGCTACTAATTTGACAAACAAATGAACTCTATTCAATTATATATTCACGGCTCCAAACATAACATAAGAAATTTGAATAATCAGGGAAGTGAGCAAAAGAAACAAGTAGATAAAAAGCAGAAAGAATGAAGAGTAAGTGGCATCCTACCAGCATAGCTGGGTATGCTTCAAAATCCTCCAACGTCCAAACCTTCCCAGTAAGAGGCTCTGGAAGCTAATTCCATTCCAATCCATCCAAAATAAAATAAACAACAAGGAATGCAATTATTCCTGTTTTAAAATAAATAATTAAAAAACAACAACATTGCACGGATACCAATAATTTTGTATTAAATATTATAAATTCAATACATTTTAATGCATTGAAGCTATTAAATCCTATAATTGTAGATGAAAATTTGTTATTTATTAATTTGTTATCATGTTAAATTTTACCATTAGATAGAAAAACCATTACAAAAAAGGAATGAGGAAGGTAAAAACCTGAAACTGGGGGGCTCTGAAGCCCAAGGTAACACCTTTGGACTCGGTTCTAGAAGCCCGAATAAGGAACCTTGTTGGGGTTGATTTCTTGTTGAGTTGCAAGCGCAGAGGATGAAATCCCAGTTTGGAAACAGAGCATGTTTGTGAGAGTGAAGCAGAAGAACCTAACTGCACAAAAGGTGACCCAATGGAAGACACTTTCAGTCCCAGTCTCAGTGCCATTACTGTTACTCCAACATTCACCTCAACCTCAATTCTCCCTCATCATCATCCTCTTCACCACTCTTGCTCCTTTTCTGGTCTTCGTTTCCCCACGCTTTTCTTTGGGCTTATACTGGTCCAAGTAATAGCTCTCAATGGGCTCGACCCAATCCATGTATTTGGAATGAGGCTTTGCATTTGCACCCTCATTTTTTTGTTGCTATTTGCACTTCTGTATTTTAATTTATTTCTTTTCAAAATACCCTTACAAATTATTTGCACCCTTATCTTACACGTATTGAAAATGCTAATAAAATTGTAAGCTCAATCGGGTTATATTTTTTTGCCGACATTAATAAACTATCATGTGTTGCTTTCAACATATATGATAAACTACTAGCATTTGTTTTTGGAGGAGAACGCTATTGTTTTTGTTTTTCCAAAGAAACAATGAAAGAAAGCTTTATTATATTCCACTGCCCTGATTTTATCGTTTTCTGTATCATTTAGTGTGATGAAAGACAATGTTATTTCTAAAAAGCAAACAACATTTTGACATTTTCGTTAGCAACGTGACAGCGCCAAATTTTCACTGACAGGAAAATGTAGGACTATAATGTAAAATGGACATTCATTTTCTGTTGGAAAACACAGGTCATCCAATAACACAAGTGAACTGAAAACTGCAAATTAAGTTAAAGCAATTTCTTACGAGTTGATTCATATGGAATGGGAAAAATGTGACATATAGTACATGAAATTAACTATTGAAATAAAAAATTAAGAAATGAAAATATTAATCTTACACTCAACTCTGTTGAGTGTTGAATAACTCAGTAAAATTAGGAAGGTTCCAAAAGAATATAGCACGTTCACACTTGCATATATTATTATACAAATAAAAAAATGTATCTTGTACTGTAGATGAATAGAGCATGTATAAAATTTCAACAATGAATACTTGGGCAAGTTATTTTTCATCGAAGTTTTTGGAACGTTTGATTGAGAGAGGCAAATAAAATGAGCTAAATCCTTTTCCCAGCGTATTTCCATTAATTTTCGAAAAATAATCAAAAAAGATATATACATTTCATAACTTTATTTTATTTGCTAATAAGTAATTTAAACTTTCAATTCGTCTTGATTTCTATATTATAGTGTTTGCTTTGAAAATAATCGAAATTGAAGGAGTCTATATAAAAAAATTATACATATCAACTATCATAACTTTATAGATGTTTTAATTTATATCATATATTCTAATATTGCACTTAAATCAGAGTAAATTTGAGAAAAAAATTAATAAGTTTCTATTCTTTAAATATTTTATTTGTCAGTAATTTATTAATTTTATTTATTTATTTATATAACATTTCACTTGACTCATATAATATAATATAATACTTAGTAATTTTTAATTTAAATTCTAAGAAATATAATTATATTAAATATTCAACAAGAAAGAATTTTATTGTTCATAATAATTTTATTCAATTCAGGTTATACAACTATTTTGATGAAAAATACATACAATAAAACATATATTTAATTAATACAATATTTACAATTTCATTTCCTCAAAGTCTCAAAATCTCAATTTTAAAATATTAATCTTATAATATAAAATTTTATTTAAAAACATGAAAATATAATATTGTTAATGACACATCTGTTTATTAATCCAAATCAAATTATATGAACTAAATTAAATATTATATTAATAAATAATTAAGTAAATTAACATATCACTAATAAATAAATTAAATAAAGATATTTATTTTGAGAAATCAGACTTAAAAAATAAAAATAAGAGATCAAATAAAAAATTATGAATATTTTAAGAATTAAAATTTTATTCAATACATTTAAAAATTATTATGTCATTAATAAATTTAAAATAATGTATACTACTTAAAAAAAATTATAAATGATATTTTCAATATTTAAAAATTTATGTTTTAATTAATTTTGTATAATAAAATAAACATTTTTATTAATAACAAAAACCTTTCTTATAATATTTTATTTAAAATAAATTAAGCAATTTTTAATAACTTATGAAGTTGTCAAACTTTGTTTCAAGAACTCGTTCCTCCTTCCATTCCTTTCTTCTCTCTGGTTTTCTGAGTAAAATAAAGCTACATTCATTGTTCAATTGAACAACATCCACATATGTTGGTTGACGATAATTCCGTAGACTTATAATTCATAATTGAACGCTGATGTAAGTGTAAAATCGATAAATAAAGAACCATATCCCATTAACGAACAACCAGCTCAACCAGATGATATAAAATGCAGCAGATAACAATTACTAAATCCTAATAATACTTATTCTACATAATCTAATTGATCAAAGCTCGTCCTTAGATCCATGAGTGAACCAATCCATGAACAGGAACGCATAATGAAAGATTTGCCGTGTGCTTGGTGGACAAGTTACAAAACACAATAACTTCCAATCCAAAAATGATTGCTACCTAAGTGAATTAGTACAAAACATTTTCAGATGTATGGAGGGGTTCAACATTAGCAAAACAATTTGTACCAAATGACTTAGACAAAGATTCTCTACAGTAAAGAGAGTCTACTGTTAGTGTATTTTTTACATTTTTTATTTTAAAAAATTTGTTTTATTTAAACAAAAATACATTAACTGCTGCAATTCATGCCAAAACCTGGTCCTCTCAATGAAATGTCACCCTTATCATACATTCACGGTTGGTAAAACACCTCTTACACTTTTCAACTTATCAAAGAATTTTATCTAAATATATTCAAAGTATATAACTTATTCAATTATGAAGTATTATATTAGTAAAATTATTGATATTTATAATAATTAATATGAAAATTGTATTTATAATGTATAATAATTTATTGACATTATAAAATTATTTATACTAACAGAAAATAAATTTTGTACAGAAGTTTGTATGATGAAAGGTGATACAAAAATTAAGATGATCTGATGAAAAAGATATTATTTTTTTTAAAAGAAAGAAAGTTCATGTTTGGTTTGGCTTATTTTAGTTATTTTTAAAAAATAAATGATTAATTTTAAAATCAAGTTGAAACAAATATATTAACAGTTATATTCAAATATTTAATTTTTGAATAAGATATATTTACAATTTTATCTCTTAAAAATCTCTCAAACCATTAAACGAACATTGTGAAGAGTCTGGAATGTTTGGGTATCAACGTTGCAAGGATGAGGATGAAACCTTAACATCTTTGCCCAAGAAAATGTAAGTTTAAGAAAAGGTTTTTAAAAATAAAAAGAAAGGGAAAATAAATTTTAGAATCATTTAACTTGAACATGCTTGCTTTACAGATTAAATTGAAATAATGTTAGTCTTACCGATTATTCCACATACTGTGTAGTAACTATGTTTTTCTATTTTTCATAAAATAAATTACACTTTTCTGCATCAAAAGATACAAGCCTGTAAAGTGATATATTCTCATCGACCTGGAGTTAAATATCTGACTGAGTCATGGTTAACTTTATTAAATGCATTATACATACAAATAAACTAACAGGTACACACGTAATGAGTAATGACCAATCCCACAGTTGTGAAAGCATATCCTTCTATTACCGGTTTGACGCAAGGCCCAAGAATTAAACCCAAGAAATGATTAATTCTAAGTAGAGGCTGCTACAAGTTAATCCTAGCTCAAGATAAACGGCTAGAATTTTTGGCCTTGTCAATTTCACGCATGGGACCTACACAAATTTGATTTATTCGGATAATGTTTTATTAACATAAGGTAAGGGTGGGATTGATGATAACTACGAGGTCAAATATAAAGTCACCATCAATGACTTACAGAAGAAATTGATAGCAGAAGAATATTATTAGCAAATCAATAGGAAAAAAAAAAGTTGAGACCAAAGAAGCTATTTTATTTTACCCGATGTATACTAAAATTAATAATTGGGTAGTGGGCAAAGCAAGATTCACTCCTCGATTCAACCACTTGAACAAAATTTTGAAATTTCTCTTATTCTCTCTGTGTGTGCGAGCAAGTTATATAATATATATTTGAAACAATTAATTACAGTTGGAAATTCAAGGCTTCAAGCTAGAGGAATTTATAAAGAAGCCCAGTTGGGTGTTGGAAGCTCCATATAATATATATGTTTGTGTATGAGAGAATTGAAAGAGGGAGAAGGGGGGAAGATAAGGGAAATGAAGAGGAGCAGAGAAATAGAGAAAAGCTCAGAGATAAACTCTGCCATTGAAGAGCTATCTATGCTGGTTGTAGTTAAACCTGGAGCAAATAATGAGATTGCACACATCCCCACCAAGCCTTTCCTATCTCTATGTTACTTGGTTCTACAAGTTCTTGGTGGGTTTACTATTTCTTTTTAATTCAAACATGAATGTGATGTAACACCAAACACATTGTCATTATGTTTGATTGATGCTCTTGTAGATAAGATAGGGCCAACAATGGCTGTTTTGAGACAAGACATTCACCAGAATATTAAGGTACAAATAAAATTTTTAAGGCAAGCTTCACTCCCAATTCAGTTCACTTTACTTCAACATGTCCCTGCAGGAGAATGGGATCTTCTCAATTTTTGTTCTTCTTGTCTGTTAGTATGTGGTGTTTTGACTGCCAGTTTTTCAGTTAACGTATAATTGCACATTGCTTGACCAGTCAACTACCAATTATTAGCTTCTGTTATTAAGTTCTATATCACTGCAGAGGTTGGAAGTGATGCATGAATTGAATCCCTCAGTGAATTCAAATTTGGTTGAAATATTGAAGTCAGAAGCTAGCAAAGGCATCGCAAAGAAGAGGTTTAGTTGCAGTAAAGCATTTGCTTGGCTCACTAGGTAAACATATATTTGTACTATATTCTTTTCTTTCCTATTTTGTTATTCATCACACTTTGGTTTGGGTTGCATCATCAGTTCTGGCTCTTAAAATTGTTGAGAAAAAGAAGAGGCTAATAAGTGCTATCAGATAAAGAAACAGCAGAAATTATCTTGTATAATTTCCATATGTGTAAGTTGTGCAATATTCACTTACAGTTGCCTTACTCCGCAGGTCTCTGGATTTCTCCACAGCGTTGTTAGAATCATTAGCAAAAGATCCTAAAAAGAATATGGAGCAAATAGTTCAAGAGTCTTATGCTGCAACTTTGTCACCATGGCATGGATGGATAGCATCAGCTGCTTTCAGAGTACGGTTTTGTTAACATCCTAAACGTGACAAGGTTTTATTCAAAAAGAAAGCATTTTTAATATTAGAAATGTACGAGTGTAATAATTACTTTTTTGCCAATAAAAACTTAGCACTTTTATATGCTTAAAATCAACTTAAAGGCTGATGCTAACATTTTCCTGTAGATTAATAACCATTTGTTCTTTTTTTCTGATGTTCAATCAATTTTAAGCTTCTTGATGGATTTTACAGGCTCCAGTTCAGCTTGTCTGGTCATGGACAATTTATTTATGAAATTCTTGACTCATGAAATCCTGAGCTTCATATAAAATTTGCAAAGTGTAGGATAATGACAAAAATCGTGCAATTGGTTTCTACTAAACTAACAAAAATGGTAGTGCAGGTGGCTATAAAGCTAGTACCAGATAGTAAAACTTTTATGGATCTCCTCAAGGAAAAAGATGAAAACTGTGACACCCAAAAGGAGAAAATGCAGATCTTGGTTTCTTTGCTTGTGCCTTTTCTTGAGGATATTCATCGTATCATTGTAAGCTTAATTTCATGCTTCCTAACAACATCTATTCTCCCTGCTCATTCAATTTCCTGTTATCTTACCTCACGGATATTTTATTTTGCAGAAACTGTACAACTTAGACAGGCTTAAGTCAACCTGAAGATAGAAGAACTAATGTACAGCATCGTGTAGTGTATATTTTGGTTTCCTTCCCCACTGTTTTCATGTGAATAACTTGTATAGTAAAATTTGTATCAATACAACTTTGTAATTACAGTTTTGCATTTGGGTGGTCAATATAGATTTTATACATTAAATTTGGGCAAGTTGAATTCATGTTTGATTTTTTTTTTCTACATGGAGTATCTAATTTATATCTTTGCTACAAGCTAAACGTGCAAAATTAATTGGAGTTAAATATGATATGAGAAATGTGCAAAATTTATAGTACAGTTTAAGGAGAAATCCAGTACTTGATGATATGAGTTGAGAATTTCTGAGTTACATACATGTTTTGCTGTTATTGAGCATAACCATTTGTTCTTGGGGCTAACATGCTCAAGTGTGCAATGCTCACACAAGAATTTTCAAAGATTAAACGATAGCTCAGCATAAGGTTTAACTTGTTATTAACGGAAGTCTTACGATTGCAAATACGTCACTATCCTCATTTGTTGCTTCCACAAATAGGATTTTGCTAGTTAGAAGAAAAACCAACCTTGAAGATACTTTAAGCGTTCCTCCAAATAAATTGGTCGGCATGACCAAATTATTTATTTTTGACAATAATTTAATGATTGAATAATCATGTCTTCGATGCGTCAGAATCCTGAAATAACTAAATTCCCGGCTCTGTCCTTGCTCAAAATTTCATGGTAAGCTTGAACTTTACATTAGATGACATGAACAGTATCATTAAAATTCCATCCACCAAATGATTGATTTTCAAATAAAATTCATTTGCTTTAATTATAATAGTCAGAATCTAGTTTCTAACTTCCTTTTTCCTGTATATATCTTCATAATCTTGATAAGACTTCCAATATGGGATAACTGCATAAGAATATATCCAATGGACACGTTCAAATATAGATCAGGTCCATCCCCACAACGAGTTTTTGATGTTATGTGACTTATAAGGAGGATCCTGAAGTGCTATCAGAGCTGCAACTAAGCCAGCATTGCTTGCTATGTTTGGCTCAGTGAACCGTTGGTTGGTTCTTTGATCGATGAAATTATCATTAGTGTCTGGCCCTCCCACCATGGCTCCCAAAAGCACTTGTGGATTTGGTTCTTTAGAGTTTAGCCACCCCTTACCATCATCACAAGAGTAATGCCGGTTATCCCAAGGGATTGATGCACTTCTGTGATGAACCTGGACAGGAAACTTGTCACCATACCCCACTAAATAGCTCACTTTCATAGGGTTTTGTCCTAAGATGTACTTAACCTGAAGAGTACATAACAAAAGAAAGCAAAATTAGACTATTTTCAATTCATAATTAACAATACAAATAGTCAGGAGGCTAGGAATTTGCCTGAGAAGTAGCGAAATCACGAAGCTTTGCCACCGAGAATTCATCAGTCTTGCAACTTGCACCAGATATTTTGAGATGATCAAGGTAATCACTGTACAATTTACTGAGAAAAGATGCTGTTGCAGCATACTGGAGTAATGGCTCATTATCAGGTTTCAGGATAATTAGTCCACCTACCATTATGTTTAACATGAATCATGGACATAGATAACACACATAAGTAAATAATTCCAAACAAGCAAATGATGCAAGTTACAAATTATCAGAGTAGTAACTACCATGTGTCCTGCTAAAGTATTTGTTGAACAGATAAGAACACATGAGGGAATCTGTAGAGTTGGATGAGAGTTTCAAGACATCCTCATGTGGGAAGCCAGGATCATGGAAATATCGAATACCAGTAAGCAAAACCTACAAAGACAAATTTAAAAGGAAAATTATGTTGAGATTTCCTTCTCAAATTCTTCTGAAAATTCAGTATATTTGTCTATTGAAGTTACCTCAACAGCATTAAGCTTGTTATTCCAATAAAGGATCCCTTTGTCAAAGCTTGATTCATCACTCTTGGCTGATATAAACATTGCAGTTGCAATTGCAAGGTAATCAGCCTTTTTAGTAGCAAGAAATAACCAAGTTGCTCCCCAAGCCAACTCATCTTTGTAACTAGTTGAGTTATAAAGCATTCTTGCTTGTTTCCCACATGCATCAACCATGGAGTAGGTCCCTTGTTTTGTAGGATCTTCCTTTGTGATAGCCTCGTAGACTCTTTCTGCTGCTTGGACTAGTCTCCCTGAGTAATCTTTATCTTCTATGAATACCATTGATGCTGCAGATAATGCTGCCACTATTTCACCAGCTAAATCTGAAGCAGAGCCATCACAAATTGAAACGAGTCTCTCATACTTCATGTCTTCAGGTCGTTGCCAGCAACTTATATCATTAGGCTCATTGTTATTACTAATGGTACTTCCAACCTATTGAAATTGGAAAAAAAAACAAAAACAGAACAATATCTATTTATAACTATTAGTATGTATATTGTGGCAAAAAAATGAAAATGAATCCTCTCGTGTCAAAATTTTAATATAACATGTCGTGCATGAAAAATATTCATTCCCTGAACAAATTTATAACTTGCCTGGGAATACAGTGTAAGGTTGGATCCAGCTGTTGAATTAGGGGGAATGAACACCTTGAGCATGTAGTCACTACCCCATCTGATGATGTCCTTGACATGATCAAGCTCACCAATATCAGCATATTTACTTTGATATTCCATCACAGTCCAACTCAACAAGGTCATCGTATAAGCTGTGGTGAAGGTAAACTTAATGTTGTTGCCAGAATCATAGAATCCACCAGTAAGGTTAGCCTTAGCTGAATCCCCATCCTGTAATCCGGAGTCCGCTCTAAACTTCACTGGAGTGTTCCTTGGATAGTGCCCAGCTACAAGCAACACAAATAAAATTCATTGTTGAATTACACAAAGAAAAAAAGGAAGAGAAAATGTGTATAACAGAGTAGTACATTTTTGTGCATCATAAAATGTTAGAGCTTGGTTTATTGCCAGTTTGAGATTGATTGAAGATCCTTGATGCTTATGCTTCTGAGGTAAAAAGTGCAACAGCAGAACAGTTGCTAAGATGGCTAAAACTATTGTTACGGAAACAAAGATAAAACAATGAAAGTGCTTCTTATTAGTGATAACAAGATTGTAGTCAACAGATTTTTGGTATAGTGAAGGGATAGATTCATAGGCAGTGGAAGAGTTAGAAGAAAGTCTAAGGTCAAGTGCTATGGAGTTCCAGTGGCTGGCTGAAGAGAGAAGGGGACCTGCCTCTGAAACTGTATGCACATATCTCACAGGGTGCTTCTCTAACTCAAAAGTAGATGACACTGTTAGTGGCATGATTGATGAAGATAGCTATATTAGAACGTGTTAAGGGAAGGAATAAAATGAACAAAATGGATCATGCACTCTCTCATAAGAAATGGCTTCAAAGTTTTATCTAAATTATATGCACGTCCAGCTGGTTGCTAAACAAGGCTGAGACATTTGGAGAGCACGATCTTATTTGTTGGTATATGGTTATGAATTATAGTCTGCAAAAGTCTTATATACACAGCAAATCACAAATGTACCATTGCTTTTATCTGAGTTTAACCCCCATACTCACCCAAAAATAGTGAATTATGTATATTATCCACAAGCAAACCATAAATGTATATCATGTGCATATGGTATATAGTATATAGTTTACTCTTTACTAATGAAAGGAATTAATTTTAAGAAGTGACATTTTTATAAGGTTAACGTTCATACTTCTGATGAAGTATATACATGTTCCCTTTAACAATGATATTATTGTAAATATTGTTGTGGGACTAACTCATTAATTACTATTGCAACTAAGAAATTATCCGTAAGAGTTGTTATAGTATGTCTATTGTTTCACGTATAAAACAGACATTTCGGCAATAAATTTTATTTGTCTGTGTTTTTGGTAACCATAAGATGTTGAAATTGATTTAGGTTGATATTCCAAAGCATGGATTTGTCTTTTCTCTGTGCCGTCCAAATTATGCCTGGGAGTAAAGCCAGATAGTTAAAGGCTAATATTTACTTAAAAGTTGAAGCAGAAAGAACTAAGCCTCGTCTGAATGTTCACTTACATATCCGCGTTTACGTATCTCGATCCATCCCTTCACCCAATCATTAAATTTTAATTACAGATAAATTATAAAATTAATCATATATTTGTATTGATGATATAATGTAGTTTTTAATTTTTTAACTGTCTTTAAAGTATTACTCAATTTAAAATTATTTTAAAAATGATATTGCACATAAAAAGAGCTTGAACGGGATTAGAATCAATTTTTTATTCTCAACCAGGATGGGCTGGGCGCAGAAATTTTCGGAGATGTGCGCTTGCATCTCATGTATTAGACTATAATCTTCATGTTTTTTTTTTTTTTGGTGAATAATCTTCATGTTTTGTTATAAATACAATATGTTATTTCCTGTCTAAATTTCATGCTTCAGCGTGTAAATGACTATTCCATTCTTTGATAAATATGCAGAATTGCAGTTAATTGATAAATTATTGATTCATTGTAAAAGCTTCTGGATGCAAAAAAGTTGTGTCAACGGCGATGAATTGGTGCAAACTCGATTCCTCAAAGACCCATTATATTCGTGGGATATTAAAAAATAACTAGGATTTTCAATCACCCACATACACACGACGTCGAACAGAGGAAGAATATTCAATTGCAATATGATTTTGATTAAGCAGAATAAGGGGTAACTAAAGGGAGCCAGCCTCACTAACAGCCCGTTCAAAAGTGAAAATGTTGTTAGGAACCTTATTTTGCTTGGATTTGGGTTATGCAGTAGTAAAATAAGTGGAGAAAATTCCAACCATATATATTACCACGATTTTATTAGAAGTATTGTTGTAAAAACTGAAACTAAAGCAAGAAACATCAAACTTTGATTCACTTGTGCTGCTTTACCCAGTGTTCCCGAGTACAGGACAGCTTGAAACAGCATCTTCAGCAGTATCATCCAACTCAGGACCCTTTAGTAGACCTCCCAGCAGTTCGGCAGGATCGTAGAAGAACTCCACCTTCACAATCTTCGAATTCTCATCCAACTATCACCCCATAACAAAACAATAAAAAAATTCACCCAACGAGAAGAGTTGTAATTAGTAATTATGATTTTGTAAATATAAGTCCTTAAAAAGTTGTATTAAATATGCAAAAAGTTTTTATTTTTATAATTAATCAAACTAAATACATATAAAAATAATAATAAAAAGCTGTTGTTTATGGAATGAAGATATTTTACCGTGAAAATGGCAATTCCAAAGACTTGAATTTTCTGTCCAGTTGGGGCGTGTGCTTTGAAGGGACCCTCCATGTAGCCCCAGTGCCTGAACTTGTAGACAATCACTGGTGGCCCAGAGTAGACTTGAATAATTTCCAAAGCAAACCCACGTGGAAATGTTGTGGTAAATGCCTTGTGGGACGATTCTGCTGTTTCTCCGTAGGGATTGTATGGCCTCAGTTTCTCTGCAGAGAGGTTTGTAGCAGTGGGATATACCCTCCACCAAGCTTCCTTTTCTCTTCCAAACTAATACCCTTTCTTCCTGTGTGTCAATAATTACTCGCAACCCATACTCAACATTAACATTTCAAACCATAAAGTTTTCAATTGCGCTTCTAATTAAAGATGTAACGCTACCGTTTAGGCTGAAAGTGTATTTCTTTGGGTCCACTGATCTGTAATCGTCCATATCGACCTTGTGGAACATTTCCATCTCCCAATTCTTGACTAGGGTCTGAACCTGCTCTTCAAGTGAACCCACAGGCCATTCCTGTCATCAAAACCATAATTCAATTGTTCTATTAGATTTAGCGTTTCGCATCAGCAGAGAAATTAGGTACGTACCTTGGTTCTCCCATCTTCAAATAGCTTGTTCACAGCGTCATAATTTGGAGGGGTACCGAATCTCCATTTTATGTTCTTCTCACTGTCTTCACGCAAGTAGGGTCGATATTTGTCCTCCTTAACACTTGATGTTGCCATCCTTAGATGCACTGCAATGTTTTGTTCATCTCCCCTGGATTTATAGCACATGCGGTGACGAGTAGTACGAGTGGGAAGAAAAGTCAATTTTATACTCAAATGTATAAAGATAGCTATCTCGTTTCACTTAATTTTGATTTTCATTTCATAATATAATTATATATAAGTCCAATCTTATTTACTTTTAATTTTTATTTTGATAATTTTTAAAGTTGTTAAAACATTAAACTCTCGGCTAAAAATAACCATGCAAATGATAAAAAGTAAAAATTATGGTCACTTAAATTTTAGAGTATATTTATTTACATTTTTAATAAAAATTAAAATAACATGTATTTTTAATTTTTTTAAAAATACAAACAAACGTATTTTTAATATTTATTTCTCTCATTTATTTTTTTTTACATTATCTGTGCAAATTTTTTTTTAAAAAAATATTTTTAAAAATACAAACAAACATATTCTCTCACTTAAATTTTTTTTTTTTAACATTATACGTGCAAATTTTGTGATTACTATCACTTGTGTATTTTTTTTCTTTTTTTTTCAGAGTATCACACTTGTACAAGTAATCTCGATGTGAAATGCTACCATTTTGAATAATCATGAAGCACAGAAGGTTTGACTCTTTTTCTTTGATGGTGACTTTTTAAATGTATAATTTAGATAGATAAAAAAAACCTCACTTATTTAAAGGGAAAAAAATATTCATAAAACGGTAGAAAATTTATTTAATAAATATACTTTTCTTATTATTATGTTTTAAAATTTTGCAATACTTTATATATGGATATTTAATTTACTCTTGTTTGAAATTGTGATACTATGACACCTTGAATTTTACAATATTTATATTATTTATACTTAGAACTTTTTTATTTTTATTAGTTAAATATGGACATGGTCACTTTTTTACTTTTAAAAATTTATCTTAAATGTTTTTTTTTACGAATTATAATATCAAACTCATAATAAAATTACTTTAAAATATTAGATATATCATAGTAAATATTTTTAACTATCTAAAAACCTAGTATTAAATCATTTTATACTTTTTTACTAAATAAGTACTTTTCAATAACTTTTTACTTTATTTATTTATTTAATATTTTAAAAACATTAATTATACTTACTGTATATTAATTTGAATTTAAAATTTTAAATATTAATTCAAAATAAAGAAATAAAAGAGAAATAGAATGCAAATAATTAGCTGTAAGTTTATTAATCCTTGGAAATTTGATCCCAAGAAGTTGTGGGACAAAGATCTGGATCCTCTACAGTGTTGGCGGGAACTGGAGGGAGTGCATTTTTTTTTTGCTTAAGCGAATTTTAACAAAACATGATTTTGGCTTAAGTCAAAAAATTTAGCTTAAGCGAATTTAGTTAAAAAGTGAATTTTCGCTTAAGCTAAAAAATTCGCTTAAGCCAAAATTGTGAAAAATTTTGAAATTTTATCTTCTTCCTCTCTAAAGACTCTTACATATTTTATTCTACCAAATGTTTCAAATATATTGTCTAGTGTGCTACTTGTGCTAAACATTAGTGAAATAGAATAATTTGAAATCAAGTTAAATTGTTGATAATTGTAATAAGAATTATCGGAATGATAACTTTTAGAAATTAGTTGAGAAATAGTTACATTATTACATGTTTTAAAACATTTAAGTTTTTGTATTATGAATATAAAGTATGACCATATGATTATACACAAATGTTTTTAAATGTATTGTCTAGTCTATTATTTGTGCTAAACATTAGTGAGATAGAACCATTTAGAATCAAGTTAAATTATTGAAATGATGATAAGAATTATAAGAATGATAACTTTGAGAAATTGGTTGAGAAATAGTTATGATATTACATGTTTTGAAACACTTAAATTTTTGTTGTATGATCGTAAAGTGTGACTACATGATCTTGCACAAATAGTTCTCAACTTTTATGTAGTTAAAGAGAAAGAAGATAAAGTTTTAAAATTTTTTACAATTTTGCCTTAAGCCAAAATCACGTTTTGTTAAATTTCACTTAAATAAATTTTTTTACTCTGCAGTTCCCGCCAATACTACAGAGGATTCGAATCCGTGGGACAGCCGCCGAGTGGCGATGACTTGTTAAACACAGATATTAGAGTTTAGAGGCTAATTAAATAGGTGGTAGAATACTATAATCCGTTTATCAAAATAAAATAATCATAATTTTACTAAAAAAGTCTTAACTGAAGTATAATTACCATCCTAATTGTTTATTTTATATGCAAAATCGATTCTCTACTGTATTAGTGTAAAAGCAAACGGGCTCATACAATTTATTCCCCAAATTAACATCATTTATTAATACTCCCTCTATTTCAAGTTAACTAGTTAGTGAAATACAAAGTATTTTTTAATTAAATATATATGTATACATTTTAATAATTAAATAATAAAGCTCCACATTTTTACACATGATTATATAATAAAATTATTTTAAACAATAATTTAAAAGAATATTTTAACTTGACTTTACAACTAAAATAATATATATCAAATAATAAATATTTAATATTATATATATATATATTGTATGTTAAAAAAATACTTTTATACTTAAAATTTAATAAATTTTACTATTAATCTTTTTCTTAAAAAAATATTTTCTTGATTTTCTGAAAAGGAATTTTCAATAGTTCAACTTAGATATGCACAAAAGAAAGTATTATATCACTGTCATATTTTTTTTATAAGATCTTAGTTGATATGTGAAAAATAAATTTCTTATAAATAATATTATTTATTTTTGTTTTAGGAGAATGTTTTGATTTAATTAGCACACATATTGTTATTTGTTATTTTATAATCATTCGCTAAAGTTATGATACTATAAAATATAATAATTAAAATATAATGTCTTTTTAAAATAAGAGTATTATAAAAATAAAAAAGTCTAATTCATTATGCTCTTATAATACTCTTTTATTTATTGAAAATTCGCTGAATGCTCATTTATTCTTATAAATGTTTTATAGATTAAATGTTTTTAAAATATGAGAGGCATAAATTGATTTTAATTTATCAAATTTTTATTATTATTATTATTATTATTTACAACTACTTATCTTGACAGATTTGAATATTAATAATTCTTTACAAATATTTAAAAATCATTTGAAAATTAAATTACTAAAATTATACTTAGTGCTGCAAGACACATTTTTTTTTCAAATATAAAAAAAAATATTTAAAACTTGTCTTTCTTAGGCTTTTAAGATGTAGGTATACTATTAGAGATCGAAAATTGATTTTTTTTTTCTTTCAAGGAATGAGTAACACTTTTTCTCCTTTTAAGACATTATTTCTAACTTTTTATCTTTTTTAAGAATTACTCTAGTAAAGAAGAAATGGATGAGAGTGTAAAGTTTCTCTGAAATTTTGGTAAGATATTTAGAAGCGAGGGAAATAAAAGCAATAATAGGTCAAGGACCTCCCTGAGATTAGACGGTACACTTTCTTTTGGGAGAGGGTGGTAACGTTAAATGGTGCTTATCAAAATAATTTATCAATATAAAACATATTTTATTAAATATATATGTTATCATATCCTTCTACCTCTTACATCTCAAACTTAATGCGCCAGTAACATTATTCCTTATTTATTTATTTTTTGCATCTAAAGTAAAATATCTTTTAATATTTCCTTTAATTTTAAGAAATAATTTTAAAATATGTATACACAAAAATTTAAAAGTATAAAAAATATATATAATATATCATGTCATATAAATTGTAAAATGTTTAAGATTCTATATGGTCTCCTTATTGGGTTTATCTTGAAGCTAGAAATTAATGACGATGGCACAAAATATACACCTCATGAATGACATATACCTTATATTTAAGATATATTCTATCATGGGTGTCATTTGGCAAACAAAAGGCCATAATTTCTGACATTTTCATCATGTCTACTGTGTAATACGGACGCGTTCAAAAGCAGATTCGAATCCACACTCTCAACTCCAAAGTCATGAAAAGGGGTGGATGAAAAGCTTTTGCTTTGCCATTTACCAAGCATCTTTCGGTGTAGCAATTCCTCTGTGCCCAAATTAGCAGAAAATCATAGTCATACCCCATGAAGGAACTGGGTGTGCTCGCAATGATGTTAGCAGCAGAGCTGACGGACGTGATTGTCAACACTGTAAGCAAAGCAGCTATGAAGAGAGGCATGAATAACTTTGTATTTGTCATGTACTCCAATGCCTTCGGAGCCTTCTTCCTCTTTCTCTTAGCCTTAATCTTTTACAGGTACATATAATAAGCTTACATATAACATAACCCATACTCTAAAGTCTAAAACTTTAGTGTTGTCATCTTTTGACTGTGCAGGAAAAGAAAACTTCCGCCACTTAAGTATAGCATCGTTGGCTTGTTACTTCTTGTTGGCTCGATCAGGTAATTAATAGTCTATGAGGGACTTTATGCTTTGCTAGCTCTTTTTTTATTTAATTTTTAGATGATTGGGTATTTTCTTCTTTTGGTGTGTGTGTATTGTGTCTTGCAGTTGTTGTAATCAGATGCTCAAGTTTTTTGGCATAGGTTATAGCTCTCCCACTTTGGCCTCAGCACTGTCTGATCTAATCCCAGCCTTTACCTTCATACTTGCCATCGTTTTCAGGTGTTTGTAATCTTTGTTCTCGTCTGCTACACATTAGAAATTAAATAAAACCTTACTACTAATGATAATTGATAAATAATTGATTCAAGAATTTTTTGAAAACAGTAGTTTATGACAGCTTATAGTAGTTTGTTATAATTTTATAAAATTTATTTTGGTATTTGATCATACAGGATGGAAAAAATAGATTGGAAAACTAGTAGCACTCGGGCTAAATCCTTTGGCACATTGGTATCAATCACTGGAGCCTTGATAATTTCTCTGTACAAAGGCCAACTAGTCATAAATAACCATATATCTTTAAAATTGTTTCCTCTAAAACTTGTTTCATCTATGCAATTTGAGTGGGTAATAGGGGCA